GGACTTACAATCTGACTATACTCGGGGATATGCATCCTCCAAAAGCCCACGGCGCCTAGGAAAGCCTGTGTTTCCTTCTTGCTGGTTGATGGGGACATGGTTGCTATTTTGTTAATCACCTCCATTGGAATTAGGCGGCGTCCATCTTACCACTTCACTCCTAGGAACTGAATTTCCTGAGCAGGTCCCTTGACCTTACTCCGTTTAATGGCAAAACCAGCTCTTAGGAGAACCTGGATTATCTTCTCTCCTTTCTCGAAGACTTCCCCTGCTCTGTTCCCCCATACAATGATGTCATCAATGTACTGTAGATGTTCTGGAGCCTCACCCTTTTCCAGTGCAGTCTGGATCAGTCCATGGCAAATGCTGGGACTGTGTTTCCACCCCTGAGGCAGTCGATTCCAGGTGTACTGCACACCTCTCCAAGTGAAAGCAAATTGTGGCCTGCACTCCGCTGCCAAAGGAATGGAGAAAAAGGCGTTTGCAATGTCAGTGGTGGCATACCACTTGGCTGCCTTGGACTCCAACTGATACTGGAGTTCCAGTATGTCCGGCACAGCAGCACTCAGGGGTGGTGTGACTTCATTGAGTCCACGGTAATCCACCGTCAGCCTCCACTCTCCGCTGGATTTACGCACTGGCCATATAGGGCTATTAAAGGGTGAGTGAGTCTTGTTGACTACCCCCTGGGTCTCCAGGTCACGGATCATCTTATGTATAGGGGTCACAGAGTCTCGGTCGGTGCGGTATTGCCGACGGTGCACTGTTGCTGTGGCTATCGGTACCAATTGTTCTTCAACCTTCAGCAGTCCCACAGCAGAGGGGTCCTCTGAGAGACCAGGCAAGGTGTTCAACTGTCTAATTTCCTCTGTCTCCACAGTAGCTATGCCAAAAGCCCAACGAAGTCCTTTTGGGTCTTTCAAATACCCACTCCTCAGGTAATCTATGCCAAGGATGCACGGGGCCTCTGGGCCAGTCACGATGGGGTGTCTGTACCATTCCTTCCCAGTCAGGCTCACTTCGGCTTCCAATACAGTCAGCTGTTGGGATCCCCCTGTTACCCCAGAAATGGAGATGGATTCTGCCCCTACGTATCTTGATGGTATTAAAGTACATTGTGCGCCGGTGTCCACTAAGGCCTTATATCTTTGTGGTTCTGATGTGCCAGGCCACCGAATCCACACTGTCCAATAGACTCGATTGTCCCTCTCCTCTACCTGGCTAGAGGCAGGGCACCCCTAGTCCTGGTCATGGTACTCATTGTGCTCTTCTTATAAGTATGACCTGGAGGTCCCTTCAAGAGGATCAGACGTATCATCATTCCTGTACAGTCTGGAGTCTTGCCCACGAGAGACTGGAGCAGCATTTATCCTTGAAGAGTTCGTTGTGGCCCTTGTCTCTCTTTTCAGTTCACGTACCCGGGTTGCTAAGGAAGAGGTGGGTTTCCCATCCCACTTCCTCATATCTTCTCCATGCTCACGGAGGTAAAACCATAGATTACCACGTGGAGTGTGCTCTCTCTCCTTAGCTGGGGGACGTTGACTCCTAATAGCAGAGACTCTTGTTTGTCCTGGCGAGATATGGAAGATCCCTTCCTTAATTTCTTCTCTTAGTTTCTGGTGTCCCTCTTCAATCTTCTCTTCCAGGCTTCGGACATGTTCAGCTAGTTTGGTTTCCACAGATGAGACGTGGGCTCGTAATGGGGCGGTGACAGTGTCTTCATAAATCCTGAGTTTACTAACCAATGCACCCACCTTGTCCTCTCCCTCCCTCCATTGCAGCGTTGCTAAGTAGCGGGAATACATTTCTGACCCGAGTCGTGCAAACTTTAACCACATCTGGGATGTGCACTGTACACCATCTGGACTTTTAGGGAATCTTTCATCCTCTGAAAAGATTATCTCCAGTACAGTTAATTCTCTTAAGTACCAGATACCTTGTTCCATGGTGTTCCACTGTCCTTGCTGTACGTGGAGGTCCTCCTTACAAAGGTATCTCTCCCTCACACTGGACAACAGTCGCTGTCAGAGGCTGAGAGTTTCCTGCCTCCTTCCAATCCCCTGATCAATGACTACATCTCGAGACAGGGATCCCAGCTGTCTGGCTTCACTCCCATCTAGAATTGTATCGTTACATGCGGCATCCCAGATTCGGAGCAGCCAGGTCAGAATGGACTCATTTGCCTGTCATGTGAACTCTCTCCGGAGTTCACGTAGCTCACCCAGGGATAGGGACCGAGTGATTATTTCTGGCTCTGTCTCCTCCGGTGGATGTGAAGGTCCTGCCTCTTCATCATCATTTGCTATACGGACTGATTTAGTCTTTGATTTCCTTTTCTGGACAGGGGCGACTGCTATTGGTTTCGGTTGTTCTTCTGGTTCCTCGATGGTTTGTGTGGACACGGTGCCGGTTGGTTTATTTCTTTCTCCCTCTGACTCAGCTGTGGTTTGGGTGGACGTGGTGCCTGTGGATTTACTCCTTCTCTCCTCCCCCTGACAGTGCTGTACCATGTCAAGTAGTGTCCGGTAGGCAGTGGTCAGGGCCCAGCAGGTTGCTGTGAGCTGGCCATCTCTGGAACTGCCAGAGCATTTTCCCTTCACCAGTCTTATCATGCTAACAGGATCCTGCAGTTGTTCAGGGGTGAATTTCCAGATCATTGGAGGAGAAAACTTCTCCAAATACTGGCCGATGTCCTCCCACTTCCCGTGCCACTCAGCATTATCCACTCCCAGGGCAGGCATCCCAACAACCTCCCTAGAAGGCCCTGTTCTGACCCTAAGCATGGTGTAGACAGTACAGAGCAGACATAGCAACACTAACAATAACATTATGCTATCCTTAACATCAAAAGGGAACTCAATATTTTCAAAAACTGTTGTAGCAGGTCTGAAGGGGAAGAAGGAGGTGAGAGGCTGGAAACAACCATACCCCCTGTTTCCCCAAAGGGCTGGGTGCGATTTTTAATGAGACTCCAGAGGTAACAACCCAAACCAGGACAGGTAAACAGGACTGAATACACATTTACAATGAAACTCATTGCTTCTGATGTTATGATGACATAAATATAGTATACTAATAAAGCAATTTGGATCCCTCTCCCTGGTTTTAAAGAGAGCATCAAAACAGGCAAATAATTCCCCATCTGTGGAAATATGAACATGCTCATATACAACATCCATGTGAATGCATGAAACAACATGGTGATCAGGGAGTTTCTGTATTCAAACAGACAAATGCTTAAAATGAAATTGTGATTCTGACTTCTCTCTCTCTGCCCCACGTTGGGCGCCAAAAAATGTGCTGGTTTAAAAGTTAACCAGCAGGGGAAATGAACTCAACTCAAAAGAGAGATTTGCAAGCCAGAATAACAATTTAATAAAATAATACAATAAGCACGACTACACAGACAAGCAATTGGTCTCAACCCACAAAACCCAAATGTACAACCTGGCACCCCAGGGCACAAACAAAACAGTGCTCCCTGGGCCCCCCCTGAGTCCAAAGCAAAGGGAGAGGGGAAAAAGAAACCTGTTGGTGAGAGAGCTGCTGCAGTCCAGCCAAAGTGGTGATTGCAGTTCAGTTGAGGGTGGTGGTCTCAGTCTGGCTGAGAGCGGTGAGCTGCAGTCCTCCTCTGGATCCCACGAGAGGTGCAAAGGTTCTGAGACTTCAGGTTTATATATTCTCCAGCTCAGGCAGCAATGCTTAGCCCCTCCCCCAGAGCGGGGAATTCCATAAAAGGAGGCTCAATCCTTCCCTCAGAGTGGGGAATTCCATAAAAGGGTGTGAGGGTGCTCAGTCAGGGAATTCCACAAAAGGGCATGAGGACAGGAGCATGGGGGGGGGGGGGGGCACCTCGCAGGCCTCTACTGACAACAGTTTCTGGGAAATGGCATGGAGGGCTATAGAATACACAGTTTTGGGCTACACCCATCCAATGATGAATCGGTCCCAGCTGTTCTAACTAGGACAAAGGGCCAGGACATACGTGGTGGATAATGAGGAAGGACGGAGTAATCCAATGTGTACCTCAAGGAAACTTAGCCTTGGGGAAAAACTAATTGTATGTCCTTAGTTGTGTTTTACAGGAAGCCAGTCACCAGATGAGAGAGAGAGAGAGACCTGAACTAAGTTGATGCTGGTATCCAATGTTGAGACAGCCCAGAATGACGAAACAGCCCTAAAATCAGAACTGCAATTGTGACTGAGGAGACCAAAGATCTGGACTGAACTGAACTGATGTCAGTATTGATTTCCAACAATGAGACAACTGCGCCGAGAGACCAACAAGGACTATATATATATATGTATATGTGCATATATACGCGCGGGATGTAGGCGAACGTGAGATATAGGTGTTACGTAAAAATAGTATGGAATAAGGGGTGGAGAATGTGGTGGTTTGGGCTAGGTCTTCCTTGCTGACCAGTTTGTAACCAAGGAAGGGTCCAGATCTACCCAGTATTCCCTACGATTTTTTACGTAAGCCAGACTATAAGAAGAAAGGAGGAGAGGCCTTTGTTCTTTTTCCTTCCGGTGGCTTGGAGGTGCAGGTTCCCTGCTGTTGAGTCTGCCGTGTTGGGGAGCGAGGCCTGGTAAGGTCTTGTCGACCCTGGGAGATGGAGGTTGCCAGCGATCGTCCCGGAGCGACTCTCGGTTGTCCCAAGGAGAGTGGTGGGATATTTCTTTGCTAACTCTTTAGTTACTAGATCTCAGGCTACTGATTGGGATATATATATTTTTTATTTTGGTTTTGTTCCCTTTCCCTTCCCCCTTCCCTTTCCCTTGTGAAATTGTATATATTTTAAATTGTATATATATTTCAATTGTAACATAAGTGTAAATATATTTATATATATCACTTTAGTTGTCTCTCTCTCGTTTCGGGTTTTCTTGGTTGTTTTTCTCCCTCTTCTCCCTGAGGTTTGGGGGGGGGAGGGGGAACTCTTGTGGTAAGGTTTGGAGACTTGGCAGGGAGTCAGCTTCAAACCATATCAGACGTGACTGCCAAAGATGACAAACTGAGAAGTACACAGCCAATAACTACTTAAAATGTAAACTGTGTCATTAAAATGTAAAAGTATAATAGAAATTCCAGCTATGTGTGAGTGAAGAGTGACTGAGGTGGCCACCAATGAATGACTGAAGAGAGATTGTGTGAGAGAGAGAGACTGTGTAGATATATATGTGTGACAATATATGTGTGTGCAAACTCAACAATGCTTTTGTATTGGAGTGTTGAGACCCTTGGGGGAATGTATTACATGGATCTCTTAGATTGTAGTGAATCCTTGTTTTGAATAGTGGATGAGCTCTCTGGATTCTTCCTTGGTGAGATGTTGTTGCTGTGTTTCTTTTTAGCTTTGGATCAGGGGTTGCCAGTGCCGGTGTCTTGCTTGATCAGCCTGTTGCAAAGGGCCCTGCAACAGACTGTCAAAGCCATCTTTGCAGCATAAAATAAAAAAAGAGGGGGAATTGTCGGGGTTGACAGAGAACCTGTCAGCAGCCTGGCAATTAGTGACAAGGAATTTAAACAACTTTTAGGAAATATTTGCTGTAATGTCGGACGGAACAAACGTAATGCAACCCAGACCAAAGGTCACCAATCAAAATGTGTATAGTGTCACCAATAGCATGTCACAGCATGCACAGTGTCTTCAGTGTCACCAATAAGAGTGTGTGCAGTGTCTTGACCAATTGTGTTATGGTACGATAGTGTACAAAGAGTATAAAAGAAACACTTGAGAGCAATAAACAGCTTCCTGATCACCTTACACCTGGACTACGTCTGATATCTGTGTCGCCTTGGCCGTTCCGACATTAACAGCGACAGTAACATACAACCAAGACAAAGCATTTCACCAGAGTACCCAGCACACATCAACTCACACAGCTTAGTAAAATACAACCCATCAGTTTTAAGTTACCCAAGTTATTAAGAAAGAAAGAGTAAAGAAAGGAGATTGAGAAGAAACAGGAATAAAAAGAGAAGTAAAGAAAGATATTAGAATAAGAGAAAAATACTGCCGAGAATCCTTCGCATGGTGACAGTCATAAAAGAAAGAGAAAATAAAGATTCTCTGCCCCTGTATTTATGTGGTCTGGCCAGCATGGCCACCCCTCCCAGGTGGGACATCCAGCACTGACCACTCAGTGCCTCCCAGGCAGGAGTGAGGGGTGATGTAGCCAATCAGAAGCTCCAGGGGGCAGGCTCCCAGGTTGCCCTTTTGACTGACAACTACTCCATGTGGCTTCTGTGAGCCTGCAGGAGACTGCCATGTGAGTTCCGTGGGCCTTTCCCTCTCCCCCACACAGAGTTGATTCCGACCCAAAAATTAAATAATCCAGTGAGATTTGAATCCAGTGTCTCACAGAAGGCTGCCATGGGGAAATGAAATCCATCTCAGCCAGACCAAATACAATTGACCAAACACAAGTTTGCAGCACAAATGAAGTTTCTCTGTAGTCTTTCAAGTGCTTTATGTTGAAGGCTGCTTACTTTATAAATACAATTCAAAAAGGAAATTAGGAAGGAAGAAGAATGAGAAGCTTAAGCTGAATCAACTTGAGACAATGTCAGGATGGAAAAGGCCTGGGACCAAACAAACAAACAAAGAAACAAACAAAACCCAAAAGAACCATGGCAGGTTGTACTGGGTCTGACTTGGGTGGACTTTTCTTCATAGCAGCCCATATGGTGCTGTGTTTTGGATTTGTGACTAAAAGAATGTGTAAAACTGTATTTGGTTTATGTGGCAAGGTTTTGGTGGTGAGGAGCTGCAGGGGTGGTCTCTGTGAGAAGAGACCAAACCCACCCTGTATTGGACACAGCTGGTGCCGGCCAATTCCAAAACAGACCCATCACTGGACAACGCTGAGCCCATCAGAGAAACTGGTGGCACCTCCGTGAAGCATATTTAAGAAAGGGCAAAATGCTACACAGCAGAGAGAACTGAGGGGAAATAAAGTATGAGAAACAATCTTACAGACGCAAAGGTCAGAGAAGAAGGAGGGGGAGGGGTGCTCCAGGCACTGGAGCAGAGATTCCCCCTTCAACCTGTGGAGAGATCATGGTGAAGCAAGTGAATATTCCCTGAAGCACTGAAGCCTATGGAGAGGACCCATGCCGGAGTAGAGAAAAAGTGTGAGGAGGAAGGAGCAGCAGAGAACTGTTATGAACTGACTGCAACTCCCCATTCCCCATCCCTCCTGTGATGCTGAGCGGGAGGAGGTAGAGGAGTCAGGAATGAAGTTGAGCCTTGGATAAATGTTGGGGAGAAGGTGTCGTTTTAATTTTGTCTTTGTTTGTCACTACCCAAATCTATTTTAATTGTCAATAAATTTAATTTTAGAATCATAGAATAGAATCATAGAATGGCTTGGGTTGGAAGGGATCTTAAAGATCATCTAGTTCCAACCAGTCCCAAGACAGAGCCGTGAGGGACACCACTCATCACTGGCCTCCACCTGGACATAGAGCCATTGAGCACAACTCTCTGGCCATGTCCATCCAGCCAATTGTTTTTCCACCAAATAGTCCACCCTTCAAATCCATATCTCTCCAATTTGGAGATAAGGATGTTGTGTGGGACCGTGTCAAAGGCCTTACAGAAATCTAGGTAGATGACATTGGTCAGTCTTCCTTTGTCAACCATTACAGTCACTCCATCATAGAAGGCCACCAGGTTGTTCAGGCACAATTTGCCCTTAGTGAAGCTATGCTGTCTGTCTCGGATCACCTTCTTGTCTTGTATATGCCTTAACATTGCTTCTGTGAGGATCTGCTCCATGATCTTCCCAGGCACAAATGTGAGGCCCACCAGTCTGTAGCTCCCCAGATCTTCCTTTCTCCCCTTTTTAAAAATAGGAGTGATTTTCCCCTTTTTCCAGTCACCAGGGACTTCTCCTGACAACCATGACTTTTCAAATATGATGGAGAGACTTGGCAACAACATCAGCCAGTTCCCTCAGGACCCCAGGATGCATGTCATCAGGCCCCAGAGACTTGTGGCTATTCAGCTTCATCAAGTGGTTCCGGAGCTGCTCTTCACTTACAGTAGGAGGGACTTTGCTCCCCCAACCCCCACCTAGAGGTTCAAGGACTTAAAAGATGTGGGAAGCCTGACTGCCAGTGAAGACTGAAGTGAAGAACTTGTTAAGTACCTCAGCCTTCTCCATATCTGTTGTTACCAGTTCTCTTTTCTCATTTGTTGGGGGGGGGATGCTCTCCTTGGCCTTTTTATTCTGACCTATGTACTTATAGAATCCCTTGTTATTCTTCACATCCCTTGCCAAGTCCTGTCCCATCTGTGCCTTGGTTTTCCTGATTCCATCTCTACACATCCAAACTGTATCCCTGTACTCTCCCCAAATCTTTGTTCACGAAGCCTAGCCATGATGACTCTCCCCAGGTCACCTGTCCCTGCTTCCACTGGGTGTGCATTTCCTTCTTACTCCTCAGTTTGAGGAGCAGATCCTTGCTCAGCCATGCTGGTTTCTGGTCTGCTCTGCTTGATTTCTTACACATGGGGATGGAGAGCTCTTGTGGTCTTAAAGAGTTGCCAGCTCTGATCAGTTCCTCTGTCCCTAAGGACAGTTTCCCAGGGATTCCATCCACTAATTCTTTAAACAGCTGGAAGTTCACTCTTCTAAAGTTCAGGGTCCTGACTTTGCTCTTTGCCAGGCCCATGTTCCTTGAGATCATGAACTCAAACAGGGTGTGGTGTCTACAGCTCAGGCTGCCTCCAATCTTAACCCTTCTAATGATCTCATCTGCATTGGTGACCACCAGGTCCAGTAACATGTCTCCTCTGGTAGGTTTGTCTAATACCTGGACCAGAAAGTTGTCCTTGATGCACTCCAGGAGTCTCCTGGATTGCTTACAGTCAGCTGTGTTACTTTCCCACATCCAGGTGGTTGAAATCCCCCATCAGGATGAGAGCTTGTGAGCGCAATGCTTCCTGTATCTGAAGCAAGAAGGCCTTGTCCACAGGCTCCCCCTGATCAGGCAGCCTGTAATAGACCCCAACCACAAGGTGTCCTTTGTTGGTCCTGTCCTTGATTTTTACCCACAAGCTCTCCACCTATTTGTGGCTGTTTCTCAGAGGCAGCTCTTCACAAATCTATCCATTCCTTAACATAGAGCACAACACCCCTGCCCCTCCTTCCCAGCCTATCTCCTCTGAAAAGCTTGTGTCTTAGTTTAACAAGATTACAACTTAGAAATTAAGAAAGTTCAAGTGGAAGTGTGGAAAAGGAAAAAACCACATGTTTTTATTAACAAAATCTGAATAAACAACAAATGGCGCAATCAAAAACTTTCAGAAGAAACAAAACAAAGTCCCAAATCCCCAGGTGTGGGGGGAAACCTATGGCAACCCGGGGGGGGTGGGGGAAGGCAGGACTGTCCCGGCAGTTCAACAGCTGCTCGCAGCCACATGTGCTCGCAGCCATCACTGAAAAAAAAGTCCTTTTTTCCACAGGCAATCCAAAGGCAGAATACCTTGCTCTGAGATGGGTTGGTCTCTCTCTCTCGGTCGTTCTCCGCGAGGTGTCCCGTGGGGGAAAAAAACCACTTCCTCTCAGTAAAAGAAAAATATGCGACCGAAACCAGGCTCCCTGCTCTGTCCGGTCCGCAACAAACCCAAAAATCCCCGAACAGACTCCCAACTCTCCCCACGGCACCCTCCGTTTCCCGAGAGAGCTCACCCTCCCTCCCGCTCCCACGCTGCCCAGCGCGTGAGGCTTCACTCCGTTCCCCCCCCCCCCATCCCGAGAGAAACAGATTGGCGGGGGGAGGGGGAACCACACTGCGGAAAAAATGACAACATCTCTTTTCAAACCTATGACATCATCCACCTCTGAATTTTTTCCCATACTAACATGCTTTATCAGATTCAAACTTTCCAACCTTATACATACATACATTACCCCAACTATATACATATTACAAATATTTACATACAAATACAGGCACAGTGTTATGGGAAATTCACCCAAAAATGAGGTCCCCTTGCGGTATACACCGTGTTTCTCCATCTTCCAGCATTACCCACCATATGCTACCTGATCCTTGAGCAAAAACAATGCCACAAATGGGTTTGCCTTTGCTCGAAGCAAGTGATGCCTTAAGATCCATCTGTTTTTTTGATTTTTCTAACTTTTATAAGTTTTATAAGTAGTTAGATAGCAGAAGTAGATTTAGAAGCAGCAGCACTTATTCCCTTACCCTTACCATAGTAACTACAACCCTCTTATCCCGATTCCCCATATCAATATCCCCTGAATTCCGTTAGAAAATGTTTAGTCTCTTGTCAAGGTAGGCCTATTCTGTTTAGAGAACACTTGTACTTTGGCCTAAACCGCAGAGTACAGTCAAACTCTGGGTAACTATGTGCTCCGAGGAAGACTAGAAGGATAAAGTAAGAGGGTCTTAAAGACCCCAGTCCCAATTCCCAAGGGGCAGGACTGAGGGTGGATCAGGGCAAAAGCCAAAGGGTGGGAGAACCTCGAATTGGACAGGCAATATTATAAATTGTAACATCTGTAACAGAGGGGCACGCGTACATCTTGTAACTTTATGCCTAGGCACAAATTAAATCCTCTCACCTTCGAAACTAATTTACCTTGTAGTTTTTTTCTCCCTGAATTTTCTTTTAGGCATCACAGGATTAATCCAAACTGTTTTACCTAACACCCCTCGCATGAATCACTGGGACTTTGTCTCCATCTACAGTGTGAAGGGACTCTGATTGGGCAGGGCCGACTCGATTGATGGAGCCTCTAGTGTTGACTAACCATGTAGCCTTTGCTAGGTGCTGATCCCAGTTCTTGAAAGTTCCCCCAACCCAATGCCTTCAGAGTGGTTTTCAACAGTCTATTACACCGTTCAACCTTCCTGGTGGCTGCTGCATGGTATGGGATGTGATACACCCACTCAATGCCATGCTCTTTTCCCCAGGTGGTAACTAAACTGTTCTTGAAATGGGTCCCTGTGGTAGTTTTAGTCTAGGCCTTCCTTGGTGACAAGCTTGTAACCAAGGAAGTGGCCAGATTACCCTGTATTCCCTACGATTTTTACGTAAGCCAGGGGTATAAGAAGAAAGGAGGAGAGACCTTCGCTCTCTTCCCTTCCGGTGGCTCTGGAGGTGCGGGTTCCCTGCTGTCGGGTTTGCCGTGTTGGGGAGTGAGGCCTGCTGAGGCCTTGTTGACCTTGGGACACGGAGGTTGCCGGCAGTCGTTCCAACATGATTTCTGTTGTCCCAAGGAGAGTAGTAAGATATTCTTTTGCTAATTCTTTAGTTGCCAGATCTTGGGTTATTGATCGTGTATATTTTATTTTGGTTTTGTTCCCTTTTCCTTCCCCCTTCCCTTTCCCTTTTTCCTTGGAGTTGTGCACGGTATTTCAACTGTATATAGCTGTATATAACATAAATACATTTATTTTCATATAAGTTTGACTAGTTTGGATCTTTCGTGGCTTTTTTTTCCTTAGCACTGTGCTGGAGGTTTTTTTGGTGTTGGGTCTGGGACTTGACAGGGACCCAAGTAAAACTTAGTCCCATTATCTGACTCAATTTGCTCTGGGGTGCCGTGTTGCCACAGGACTTGCTTTTCAAGGCCCAGGATAGTGTTTCGGGCAGTGGCGTGGGGCACTGGATGCATCTCCAGCCAACCAGTGGTGATTTCCACCATGGTGAGCACATAGTGCTTACCTTGGCAGGTCTGTGTCAGTGTGATGTAATTGGCCTGCCAGGCCTCCCCGTATCTATACTTACTCCAATGTCCACCATACCACAGGGGTTTCACTCTTAACCTGCTTAATGGCAGTGCATGTCTCACAATCATGGATAACCTGAGAAATAGTGTCCACGGTTAAGTCCACCCCTCCGTCTCGTGCCCATCTATGGGTGGCATCTCTGCCCTGATGACCTGAGGCATCATGGACCCATCGCACTAGGAACAACTCTCCTTTGTACCACCAGTCCAGATCCACCTGTGACACCTTGACTTGTGCAGCTCGGTCTGCCTGTTCATTGTCGCGATGTTCCTCATTGGCTCAAATTTTGAGCACATGGGCATCTATGTGGCGGACTCTCACAATCAGTTTCTCTACCCGGGTAGCAATGTCTTGCCACATATCAGCGGCCCAGATGGGTTTCCCTCTACGTTTCCAATTGGCTTTCTTCCATCTGTTCAACCACTCCCACAGAGCATTGGCCACCATCCATGACTCAGTGTAAAGCTTTGGCCACTTCTCTCATTCAGCAATGTCCAACACCAACTGGACAGTTTTGAGCTCTGCAAATTGGCTCGGTTCCCCTTCTCCTGGAGTAGCTTCTGCAACTTGTCGTGTGGGGCTCCATACAGCTGTTTTTCATTTACATTTCATCCCTACAATGCGACAGGAACCATCAGTAAAAAGGGCATAACTTCCTCAGCCCGCACTACCTACTCTCCTTCCTCTTCATCTGCTAGACCAAAGTTCTCACCTTCAGGTCAATTTGCGATGATTTCTAGGATTCCAGGGCGATTTGTATTTCCAATACGGGTGTACTGTGTGATCAGAGTGATCCACTTACTCCATGTAGCATCAGTGGCATGATGCGTAGAGGGCGCCTTTCCCTTGAACATCCAGCTCAGCACCGGTAATCGAGGTGCTAGGAGGAGTTGTTCTTCTGTGCCAGTCACCTCCGAGGCAGCTTGTACTCCTTTGTAAGCTGCTAGGATCTCTGTTGGGGTGTAGTTGGCTTCAGATTCTCTGTAGCTTTGGCTCCAGAATCCAAGTGGGCAGCCTCAGGTCTCGCCAGGTACCCTTTGCCAGAGGCTCCAGGAAGGACCATTTTTCCCGGCTGCAGAATAGAGTACATTCTTCACAGTCCTGTCCCGACTGTCCCAAGGGCTACAGCGTGGGCAATCTCCTGCTTAATCTGTTCAAATGCTTGCTGCTGTTCGGGACCCCATTGCAAATCATTCTTCTTGGGGGTTACCAGATAGAGAGGGCTTAC